TTACTAGTGTTTTGCTATTGTTTCTAGTGTTGCTCTGCTGATTCACAAGATGGAGTGCCCAGCACACCGTTTTAAAGTCAGTTTCGTTCATTCGTGCAAAGATAGCTGGGTTTGTATGAGTGACCCTGGGCAAGATGCGTGCGTTTACAGATCTCTGCGCTAGTCTTCCGGTACCTCGGCGATTTCTGTACCACACAAAGTGCGATACTTTTCGGGTCATATTGAAAACTGTCATAATGTGAGCTCACCACTTAAGGTTTAGGAGGGCACAGGTAATTGACTTCGCTTATGGACGGCAGAATTCTATGGACATTATTGATCTTGTTCTGCACCTGATGTCAAGTGTTGTGTTTCGAGTGTTCTGCATTAAAAGTTGGATTTCCACAGATTAGGAATGGTTCAAAATGTGAACAGAGCCAGTTGTCCGGCCGTTGCACCATCATACTCTTGCGTATCTTGCATTTTTCATATAGAAGTGGTGATGGTTAGATAGTATGTTTTATGTACACTGATAATGTGATAGTCAGTGCGACACGTGGGTAATGGAAATAACTTGGTTGACTCTAAACATGTTGCTCTGATATGATGAGGATTTATTACTCATTGAGAAATATTGCAAGCATAATGAGAAGTGGTCTTTGAAATAAGCATTCGAAGGTTTTGACTTTCAGAGGTAGTGAGGCAAGCACCTCAAGCACATTCTGCCATAGAATAGTCCTGAATGTTGAAGATATGTCGAGAAATTTCGTGCGCGTTGCGCAACAACTCTTATCCGTGCTGCTTAGTGGCTTGTGCATGAGAAACTCGGCACAATCGTTGCAGCTTTGAAAATTTTAGATAAACAGGTTTCCTTTTAAGGAAAGAATTCTTCACGATCTAACAGCAATAGTAGTACAGCAAGAATGTTATTTTTCCAAAATCAGGATGAAACCCATCGCGACAACACGGACAATGTCGTATCTACTTCATCGTAGGGCTCTCGCGGTCCTGCGGCGGCTGACTTTGCGGTCACTATATTCCCACAAATCTCCAGCCACAAATCCAGTAGCAGTAATCGCTCAAATGGAACCATTTGGCTGGTGTTGTATAATCATTGCATTGTTAGGTCTTAACCGTCTTAACCGCCTCTGTACCATTCAGCTTTAGCCGTCCGTTGCCTACATCTGTTTCTCAGCTGATTATTGCGTCACTACAAATATTTGTACAAATTCCAGTTTAAATCCACTGCCTGTATCTTCTTAGTCTGTCATCTGAGCAGGAACAAATTGGTATGGCATCGATTTGTTGCCTGTTTAAAGAATGGTTAATAGCCTTTGCTTCCCAATCTCTTGTTCAAGGCAACCATTAGAAAGGACGGCGTAAAGTCGTTCATTCAGCGATGCGTTTCGGCGTCGGTATAGACAAACAACTCATTTCAGATTTTCAATATGCATTTGCAGGCTGCTCTGAAATATGATCGAAGCGAAGAAATGGGTAAAGGTCAGAAAAAAACTTACTGATTAACAAACGGCTGTTTTGGAATTCGAAATAGTGTTCATTTGTCAGTGTATAAGGGCAGTTGACGATTCTATAGGCTGTCGGATATGTGAAGAGTGAAAAACTACGTTCAGTCAAAAAATAATCTATGAATTACTAAGAAAAAGTAGAGCGGTCAGCATGTAAATAAAAGACAATCTATTAAGTGTAATGTGGAATGGAGAAAATAAAATCCTTCGTGAGCGTAAGAAACAAAAATTTTAAAGGTGATAAGCCGTTTAGTATAAGTTCCGTTTAGGCGAGCGATTTTTTAAATTTATTTGAGCATTGAGGCAGGCCGTGTCACAGGTGTTGACAGTAGCTAGCAGCAAGACTCGTAGCGATTTTACTTAGTCTCAGATATTGATTTTAGTCCTGTGACATTCTCATTTATGTTTAACAGTGTCGACTTTTGTATTTGTTCAAGCTGCCGCCTAATCCAGAGCTGTAGCATCATTGATGTTAGATAAAGAAATGCCTTTTCTACAGAGTACCTTAAATCCAGCATTACAAAGTGCCTGTAATGATCTGGAAACAAAGTTTTGTTAAATAATATAAAATCGTTCTTATCATTGTTCTAAGGAAGACATTAAAATTCATAAATGGTGCAATAAATAATGGTATAAAATAGTGTAGACGTTACAAAAATTCTGCTTTTCTTTCTCGATTCATAGCTTGAGACCTAAAAATGATGTTGAAATTTGAAACAGTTTTCATTCAGCAGTTCAATTTTAATTAAAAGTTTTTTGTTTCGGATCATCAAGGAGCATAGGTGGAATTATCAGATGAACACGGCATCGGAAAGACCTTGAAGACAAATTTTTCAAAATGTTAACGATTTTGAAATTGAAATTCTCATTAAAAGGACAGTAGCACATTCACTTGTTGGGCATAAGACAGCATTTTTACGAAAGTTAACAGCAATGAAATCAATCCTTTTTAACAACATTGCGCTGAACAGTGTCAGTATTGAGTATCATGAGTCGCCGAAGTTCTCTATCTTCCAACCTAATTATTCGGGTGGCGCTGTTATGAAATTAGTCGGAACAACTTTCACAAACCTCAGTAGTGTGAAACAGCATTTTTCAAACTATAGGTTTGGAAGTTATACTGGTGGTTCCTTGAAACTGTCAGAGTTATAACACCCCAAAGTAGTAATCATTGAGAGACCTCAATTTGCATTCTTCAGGATCTTGCTTGTTCTTTCGCCCAGAAATCTCTTAATGCTTTATATATATATATGCAGCATTTAAGTTTGCGGCATTCATATTGAGTTCCATGCAGTAAAGCTGGTTTTTGACGGAAAACATTTTTTTCACAGTTTCCTGTTTTAGCGCACACCGATGCGATGCTTCGGCCGTTAGTCTTGAGTCGACTTGGCTATTGCGAAGATTCGCAGGTGATTACCGATGCGAAGATGCGCTTCAAAGATTTCATTCTACGCCACAAGCCGATTCCACCTGACTTGCGCGGCACCGTAAGCGAGTTCCGGCGCGGTTTCTTATCAGTTTTTTATCTTGGTGGTTACTTTATAGGTCTTTGCTCTGACCTGCAGATTTGGAGCTGACGAGGAATTGACTCAAATGCGGAAGGTGTGTATTAAGTTTCCGCGAATTTTCTGTTTGATATCCTTTGCATTTTTGCATCTCTACATTTCAGTCGCTTCTTGTTTTAGTTGTACGAAAGTAGTGATTCTTCTGAAATCCAGCGCCAGTGTCTGCAAGCCATCGGTCGCTGTCCGCATACTGACGTCCAGAATCATGCCTTAGAGTTCGCTATTTCGGTATACACGTTTGCACATTTTTTTCTCGTTCACTGCCATTTTTAAACCACCGCCTAATCTCCGTAATTTGCAAAGTCATCGACTATTTGTACTTGAGGTTTTGCCGTATTTTAAATGTATTTCCTTTTTTCAAAACTTACCTGTTTCATCTAGATGAACTTGAGCTTCTTTGAGGAATGTGTTGAAATGTACAGCTTGTTTTGGAGCATTATTATCAGTATCAGTATGTAGCAGTTGTTCGATGTTTAGGGAAGTTGAGAAAATAAGATGTTAAAACACTCAATAGTACAATATCTTAAATCAAAATTTTTCACTACTTTTACAGCTGTAGGACTGAGCTCAGCTGGTCACGTCTGGACCAAAGTAAGCACTGTGATGTGAATGCGTTCAACCACCGAGGCTGTTGCGAAAAATAAACAAGACTAAAAACGATTAGGAGCCGTGTTGCAAAGTCAAGGAATGATACAGAGGCTACTCAAGGTATCCCTAACAAATTTAACAATGCAGAAGAAAATGATTAAGAAAGAAATGTCGCTGATTTCGACATGCAGCAGTGACAGCATGTCTGGGCCATGAACTGCGACCAGCGAACGAAAGGCAACTGCTAATCGGAAAGCAGAAATAAAGGTGATAAATGGAGCATTTCGAAGAAATTTACAACTGGTTAGTTTTGCCAAGATAATTTTTTAAATTTACGCTTTTGTGTTGTTTGAATAAGTTGTATGGGTAAAAATTTAAGGAACTAAGATACAAAGTTTAAAGTAATAATTGCATGGTTAGCTGGAAGAGTAAAAATGAATGTATTTGTTATGCGTCAAAGACTTGAAAAGGCACGAAATTTTCGATTATTGAGATAAGGCAGTTACGCTTACGCATAAAAGGATTCATGACTGAGAATTTTGTGATTAAAGGAATATTAATCTTCTAATGCTGCTGAGCAAAACATTAACTGCTGAATAAAATTATGAAAAGTAAACAGGCAGATTGAATAACAAGCATGGAACTAACTGTCTACTATTTGTATTTTTGTTTGTTGCGAATAAGTGCATCCAGGCAGTAAACTTTGTAGACATCTAAGAGACATCTGGTAGAATTTGGCAGGATGTCTTTGGAAGGCAGGGGAATCAGAAGGATTGTCAATGAATACATTACACTTAAATGAAATCTTACTTTTTCGATTTTGGGTCCATTGTAAACCGTAACTTGTGCTCCAATTATGCTCCCTATGTGGTATCGAAATGCACTGGCAGTGAATGCTTCAGCTTCAGCTCTGGTAAACCATGAATCTTCAGATTTGTACGGTATTGTATTTTTACAACAGTTGGAAACTACTGATATATGGTGTTGGAGTAATATTAAATGGTCCAGGACTGACTGGACGCGTGCTGCATCATGTTTATTTAGTGCCACTGGAAGTATTAATGAGCCACGTGCTGGAAAGACAAGCAGTTTCGGTGTATGGACAGCTCGTGCGGACATTTTGCAGTTTCCTGATTACCAAAATGTGTTTCTAGGGTTTGCATCGTCATAGCAGAAATAAATTAGGTCGCTGTGGGAATGAAAACTCATCTTTGAAAATTTGATACCTAACCGGTTCTAATTACAATTACTGTAGATTATAATCCTTTCTCATTTTTCACTGGATTGGTATAAGGGGATCAAAAGTGAGACCGTGATGACGAAAGTTGCAAAAATCGGTTGCGAGATTTCTGAGGTAATAAACATGCACAAAAGAGCATAGGTACTGCTGTACTCGTTGGTTCAGCTTGTGATTTCGATCACTCATAAGTGCGGTCCTTAGGAAAATCTGAAATAATGGTGTTGACTGTGCATCTGAAAAAACGGATGTTTGCAGAAACGGGAATTTTCAGGTAAAATAAATTGGCACCGTTGTAAAGGAATCGTGTGCAGCGATCGTAAAATGGCGGGCAAAATGCATTATGCAGTATCAATGTATTCCATGCGATGTGAATTATACCAAGCAGCTCTGTGTAACAATTCCAGCAAGGTATGAAGAAAACGAATACAGGGTTGGAAAAGAAAGAAGAATGCAATATAGGAAGAGAATACAGAGGAACGGTTCAGAACGATCAATTGATTAAGCCAAGAGGCAGTGGAAGGGGTGAAAGGACATAAAGATTCGTATACAGCTGACATAAGGTAATTGTTTACTGCAAGCAACTATAAAAAGCTGTTTATGCAAGGCTGTTTTCACTTTTGTGACCTGTGCGCCCGTCTCATCGATACAGAATGGGTGATGTTGCATTTTAGATTCTTTGAGTGGAAGCATTTTTAAACCATCTCACAAATGTACCCAGTTAAAACCGAGTGAATGTCCTTCATTGATATGATGGACCATCTGTTTTGTTTTTCAGAAAAATTGCAGACTTCAGGACAATTATTTGGTTTTTTACGGATTGACTCGTACTCTCGCTGGGCAAGAGAAAGCTTGGAAGTTCTTCAGGAATAATATGAATCTGCTCTGCGACCTTTTCGGCTCTCAGGATAATGGATTGTTTATCCATATTCTTAAGGTATGATAAATGAACTTGAGTTCTCAGTTTATCTTTGTGTTCAGATGTCCATTATGCACCACTGTTCTGAAGAAAAGGCAGAAGATATTCAAGTAATAACTTTCCTTTGCTGAACTACGCGCATCGTTCTTATTGACTTGTCGCGTTTAGAATTTTTTCGAGCATAGGACCGTCAGCCCTGCACTTACGCGACCAATTAGTCAGAGCTTGGAGAATATCAATCTGAACATCAAGTTCTTGAGGAACAACGCTTCTGCAATAGGGGCGTGGCTTAAAGAAGAAGGCTACTAGGTCTCACCGAAAGCGAGTTGTTTCGATGTACTCGTCTGTTTTCTTCTGATGTGTATTTGCATTGACTGACATCATTGTGCTCATCAACACGACCGGCGGCACGATGATAACCATTGTTTTCTCTTTCGCTGTTCCATTTCATGTTTTGACAACATACCAAAGCCCCAATCTTCTTACTTCCGCAAGAGGCGGTGAATATTTACCCAGCTAATTGACAAATGGTTCCTTACCACTGTTTGAAATGACTGATCTAATTAATAAAATATTGCAATTTTAAGCAGCCTCGCCATTCAGCCAGCTTCGATGACCACATTTGCTATTGGATTGACGGGTCAGACAGCACTTTCAACATTTCCCGATCTTGTGCCAGGATCTGAGCTAGCAGAAGACAACCAGAGTGTAAAGTAGATTCCTTCAATGCACCTGCGTCACGTTTTTGTTGACCGTCCAGCCATTCTGTTTAACAGATAGTATCTGTTTCGTTTTCCCTTCTCGAAGCATTCGAAGTAGGTGCCCAAACAATCGCATCTGTGACATCAAAGTCTGTAGAATCGTCGGCTATGTATTGAGCTCTCTTTGTATTGCTGTCCATGTCGAAAGATGGGCCCAGCTATTCCGCCAACAAGGCTGGTTTTAGCCTCTTTTACCCGTGTTAGAAGTTTCTCACAAATGGAAACGATTCATGACCATCCCCATACTGATGATGAGGATTACGATCGAAATTAACACCAACAGTTTAGGCTTCATATTCAGCTCTGTTTCAGTCCCAGCGGTTTCCGCTAGTTGATGCAGAATGCCTTTGGCCATCCAATTTCGCCAGTGGATCTCTTATTTTACCTCAATAATGATCGCAACCGTAATGTACGTGAACTTCTTCACCTGTTCCACTGCTCCGTTTGGCTTTAAAACGCAGTAGGTCGAATAATGAAAAATTAATAGGCTTTTGGTTTTATGCGCTTTCGCAAGCATGTCAGTCGTCTCGTTCGTGACTATGAACTTTTCGGAGCGCTGAAGATCAGTTTCAGAACATTACAGCAGAACCATATAGTCCGTAAACAGTGAATTTCTCACGTCCACATCCCATATAGATATACACTCGTGCCCTGCATGGGCCTGACCAACGTGTCCGTTTACAGCAGAAAAGGGGGAGAGTAGAACGCGGTCTTGACTGAAACCAGTGCCAGCTCTGAAAGATCTCGGTTTACCATCATTCAGAATGATCTGATATCAACGAATAGTTACTGGTTGACTTTTAGTAACTCTCCGTTAATGCCATATATTTGCAGTTACATCGTTTGCTTGTTGCTCGGGATCCGGTCATAGTCTCCGAATTCACAAAGAAAGGCATATCGGATGAGTGAGCTTCTATGGTTTCATTGCAGTCTGCCGTCCAGCCAAGGCGACGAAGCTGCTTCGATCTGACTTGATTTCACATTGCTCTTCTTGAATCCTAATCATCTGTTGTGCGATACTTCCGTTCCAACATTTTTGCATTGATATTTAATGAGAGGATCAGTAAAGTTCTGTAAATCCAAAATTTGTGGTAGTCTCTGTGGTCCCCGTTCGTGTACAGGGGTGCTATAGGTGCAACTTTCCACTCTCCGTTGACTTCCATGTAACCATTGCAGTTTAGCAGAACGTATTAGCTACAGTATGCTTGCTGGCCTAAAGTTTAGAGCATTTCAGGTCGATTTCATAGGTTGCTGCAACATTGCCACGTTTTAAGGGCTTTTCAGCTACTGCGAATTCATCCACTGAAAGACTAATATCTTGACTGCTGTTTCGGCGAGTCTTCGTGGGGTTGCTCATGTCTAAGAGTTTCTCAAATTTGTTGAAGTACAAAGATGTCCAGAATTGAACCTCAGGACTCTGTGACGACCTTGTTTCCATCCATCCATGGTTTTCCAAAGTACCTAGCTTGTCTTATTAAAATATGACTGCAGAGCAGTCTTGCCTACCACTCTTCCAATAGCCATCAGAAATATGGTAAATATTAAGCGAGGAGTCTTCGTATGCTGACATTGTCACTCCTAGACACAAATTGACATTTGCGATTATTTCACAGCCACATAATGTCAAATTTTATTCGTCAGAAAATCAGTGGCTACCAGAATCTCGCCTTCTCGTTTTTTTTTCTTTGAAGCACCTTTGCATGACGGCTTTGAGGGCGCTAGACCGCAGTGTATGATTGTGAAGTATTCCAGCTTTTGACATCTGGCTACTGCAGAAGTGATGTTGTTCTTACGTTTGGCACCTTGGTATTTCGCTTTCCCGTAGTGTATATACCTTAGAACCGCCGTTATTTGGCTAATATTTGGTTTGATATTAGTGCATGTTAGTTTCATTCCAGATTAGATTCAATTTAGCGTTGTCGCTGCTGAGAGAAATGCTCTTAAAGCTTCGGCGAAGACGTGCTATCAGTAATGCCCACTGCATGAAGCTGCTTCAGTCATTGTGCAGCAAAAAGATTTTTCTGAA